AGGACCGGTCGTTATGAAATTCCTTGAGAGAGGTCTTTGTCCAGCAGTGGACGTCATTTGGCTGAAACGAACGTATACCGACCTCATAAAGGTAGCAGGCGCTAGATGGGAGGCCTCTACCAACCGGTCATTATGGAAATCATTGGGGGAGGCCTATGTTCAGCAGTGCTCGTCCAAATGATGATGATGATGATGAACGTATACCTACGTAGCGCGTCAAGTCAAGTATTTAGGATAAGGAAAACTCTTATTCCTCCGCGCTTTAACCTCTAAAATGGAAAGTCTGAATCATAATCGAAGTGGACTGTACCAAGGTAATAAAAACGCGGACTTTAGACCGCCATTTCACTAATTGTTTGAAACACGAGCCGTCTGCTGATAAAGTTAATGCCATCGGTTTTTATTTCAACGGAATGCCAAACGTTTAGTTATTTAACGAGATCAAAGGTTTTTCCAATAAAATCAGACTTTGATCTTTGTAACTAGACCAATTTGTTGCTGTATTTAGGTTTTAATAAATGTTTTTTATTTATAAAGTGTGGGTTTGTTTAGTTGAACGCGCTAATCTCATGAACTACTGGTCCGATTTGAAAAATAGTTTTTGAGTTGGCTAGCCCATTTATCGCGGAAGGTTTTAGGCCATTTAACATCATCCTACAGCCAATAGGAACGGAGAAAAATGTTGCTAAACGGGAAATATTATTCAAACTATTTTTACGCGTACGCAGTCGCGGGCACTGCTAGTCTCTTTAAATAAGTGTAAAGAGAAATTTTTTTATAATGTACTGTCACGGCTATGTCTTCTTCTTCTTCTTCTTCTCCTCTATGGCTACTGTGTTTCCACGTTTGCCAATGTCACGTGAGCATAGCCACGGCTATGTCACCGTTTAACAGTCACGGTGACATAGCCTAAGAGTTGAAGTGGTCGCCATCAATGTCGCCATGACCGAAATCGGTCAGATGAATCATCATCATCATACCACAGGAATCTCCTTGAATGTAATAAACACTAGACAATATTTGCATACGCGTAGGTGTGAACGACTTATATCCATGATCAGATTAATGATTATCGCTTGCAATGTACGGAAGCAAATTGACCCATCAAGAGTCATTGTGGCGATGACATGCCGTGACTGACGGTTGTCATTGATGAAGGATCTGCCCACATGATAATAAGTCAGGACCATAACATGGACATAACAACTATGTATAAAGGAACTCGAAGACTGTTCTTATTGTCTGATTTAATTTGCATCGGAAACAGTGACTCAATGATGGTCGCGTGACTTAGTGGATTGTCCAAAGCCTATGGGTTCCAAAGGTTTAGGTTCGAGTGCTGCTGGGGCCAAATGTTTATCATCCAATTGCTCGACTTTTACCTTGGATTATACTTACCTAAAAAGATCAGCCAAGTCGGTTACAATTTATAAATATACCTAAGTGTGACGGCTAATTCGAAGTAGCTAAGATAATACTATGAGGTATTCTATTAGATATGTATATCATTATACATAGACTCTACTAATTTTCTTTACCTACTCTAAATTTTCACACTAAACTAGCGGCCGCCCGCGACTTCGTACGCATGGATCCCGTTCTCAAATCCCGTTTTACCCCCTTAGGGGTGGAGTTTCAGTATTTGGGCTGTGCGTTAAAAGATCACTATGTCAGTCAGTCAGTCATTTAGATGCATTTTATCTCTGTAATCACCACAACACCATCAATTAAAACTCTATAATCCATTCTGTCCCAGTCTATTAGAATAACTCATACATCAAAATACAAATTAAAATAAGTAGCGCGTTTACTATAATTGCTCAATCATTACGTGCGCGCGTATCGAATATAAATGACGCGTGCGCACCGTTTACAGATCTGTTTGATAGCCTATTAATAATCATGTTTATTTACCCTCAGGTGGGAATTATTCCCGCCAACATTGCTATGCATTTATTCGCTTTTTAACCACAAAGGGCTGAGTGTGAGTTTTCATAAAACGCGCTCACTAGTGAGCGCTTCAAAAAATGACATTAAATGTATGACGGATTGTACAGCGCCCCTGGCGGGAAACGTTCAATAACTAAAATTTTCATACATTTTTTAAACGCGCTCATTTGATGTACACTCACACTCAGCCCACTGCCCACTGGAACTAGAAGCTTTTGGCCTGAAAGTGATAGTCAGACCATGGAATTTAGCTTTCGCTTCATCTGAAAACTTCTACATTGGCGTATAGGCTTCTTTTTCAGGGAGCTGATGAGCCCTGAATAATTGTTGTGCTGAATAGCCCATTTAGCGAGGAAGGCATAAAATCATCTTACAACCAATAGGAGCGGAGCAGTAAAGAAAAATGTTGCAAATACGGGAAATATTATTTTTACTTTTTTCAATAAAGTTTACTAACAATGAAAAAAGTTGAACAAAAACTAGTGAATCATGATTTTAGTAACTTCCAGACAAAAATAAAAAACAAAATTAGTCATAGACTGATGCATTTTAACGGTCTGTAATAAAATTAAATTACCAAGATTACGTTCCGCGTTTTAATTTTAATATTATGAATTTTGATTTACATTGAAAAACAGTTTATTTGTTTCCGTGTTAATAAATGACCTTTAGATAGGTATTTTAGCTAATTAATCTTTATTCTGAATTAATATTTATTATAATGTACAGTTTTCGTTTCCTTGAATTTTCAAAAGTGAACTTTCTTCTGGGCCACCCTGTATAAGCATACATAAGGACAGACAGCGGAAAGCGACGTTTCCAATTTATTATTGTACTAGCTTTCCGCCCGTGGCTTCCCACGTGTGGAATTTTGTCTGTCACAGAAAAACTTTATCGCGCCCGCCCCTGTTTCATAAACCGGGATAAAAACTTAAAACTATCCTATGTCCTTTCCCGGGACTCAAACTATCTCTATGCCAAATTTCATCAAAATCGCTTCAGTGGTTTAGGCGTGAAAGCAAGACAGACAGAGTTACTTTCGCATTTGTAATATTAGTATAGACTTTGGGTGTCACAACAAACTATTTGACACTGACTGTAAAGGCGACAGCACAATAAGCTAAACACTGGGGGTCTCTTTAGTAATCATCATCATCATTATCATCATTTCAGCCACAGGACGTTCCCAGCTGAACTTAGGTCTCCCCCAATGATTTCCATAATGACCGGTTGGTAGCGGCCTGTATCTAGCGCCTTCCTGTATTTGTATTATGGGCGAATTTACAATGAAAATATTATAGCCCAATGTGCTGTCGTCTGCCTACATTATTTCATCGACTTACAGACACCCTGCAATACCTTTGAGCCCACAGAAGCACAATTTAAAAGCTGTCCGATTTTGTACCTTAATTCCTTGACTTAAGAACACCCATGGGGCCTCGCCCAGCCCTTTGAGATGTCAATCAGCTGCGACCTCATCAGACATAAATACATATGACATTATTATAAATTATAAACAATAGGAATAATTTGTCATGCGTCGGCACTTTGATACGTTTCAAGGCAAATGTGTGACAGGATATTTTATGGATGACGACAATTATATGGATAACTTGAAAGAATGATGTGCGGTGGACACTTTTATGTGTTACTAGCTTTCCGCCCGCGGCTTCGCCCGCGTGGAATTTTGCCTGTCACACAAAAACTTTATCGCGTGAATCCCCGTTTCAAAAACCGGGATAAAAACTATCCTATGTCCTTTCCCGGGACTCATACTATCTCTATGACAAAGGACAGTGCCAATCCATGTATGGAAGTTGGACCAAGTGCTGCCCAGAATAAAACCATAGTGCATTTTGTTTCTCAGACCAATACTAATGTGTAAACCGAAGCGCACTGAAATCTATCCCTGGAGTTAAGAGAAAAAAAGAGTTGTTTTGAATTATTTACATTCAAAATATCATCGATGTATACGTACTACGCATAAGATTTCGCGATTTTGGTATTAAACAACACTCGATATGTTGAACTAAACCATACTGCAGCCGTACACCTTACTTTAGTGCGAATTAGACATTCTTTATAAGCGATCTAGCGCTGTTGCAGTAGTTTGGTTAGTTCAGAAATCATTTTATTTCCAAAATGAAGCAAGAAGTTTTAGCTTACAATAACTTCAATAATCGATTGTATTACATTGATAAATTGATTTTTCGCAAGGATAGAGAACTAAAACTTCTTGCTTCATTTTGGAAATAATGATTTCTGTCAACTAACCAAACTACTGCAACAGCGCTAGATCGCTTATAAATAATGTCTAAGTCGCACTAAAGTAAAGTGTACGGATGCAGTATGGTTAATTTCAACATATCGAGTGTTATTTAATGCCAAAATCGCGAAATCTTATGCATAGTACGTGTTCATCGATGATATTTTGTATGTAAATAATTCAAAACAAAACTCTTTTTTTCTCTTAACTCCAGGGATAGATTTCAGTGCACTTCGGTTTACACATTAGTATTGGCCTGAGGAACAAAATGCACTATGGGTTGATTCTGGGCAGCACTTGGTCCAGACCCTGGCACCATCCTTTCATCAAAATCGGTTCAGTGGTTTAGGCGTGAAAGCAAGACAGACAGACAGACAGAGTTACTTTCGCATTTATAATATTAGTATAGAAGTATAGATTATTATTGTAGATAGTTACATTTTGAAGAGACTAAATAACTTGATGAAGAGGATACTGAGTAAGTAAGCGTGCTTCACTTACTATTGTCATACGCAGACATAGACAACCTATTACATGAAAAAATGTAGTCCATTTCAGCGAAATGCTGAACATTGCTGGACAAAGGGCTCTCATGCGAATTTCCACAACGCCCGGTACACTGCCCGCAACCAGGTGTTTCCCGCAACCTTCATCAGATCGCTAGTCCATCGAGTGATAGGCCTGCCCACGCTACGCTTTCGTCACTATAGAACTTCTTACGTATTCTGTGATTTTTCTGCAAATTGTAGATGATCTTTTAACTACAACATTTCTTTTTCCCTAGCAAATGCATCCTCCGAGAGCCGAACAAGGCGGAGTGGGATTGCGAGACCGACGAGTGCGTCCTCAACGAGGAGGTCATCCGGATCCTCAACCGGCCAGGATACAGCTGGCGGGCCGCCAACTACAGCCAGTTCCGCCAGTACAAGCTGAAGGACGCGCTGGTTTATAAGCTAGGTGAGTTGAGTGAACAGACGACCTCGTAAAGTTATCAGGAAGGCGCTCGATGCAGCCAGTTCTTCAACCAGCATTGCAGCGTCACTGCCATACCTGATTTGTCAGTTGTCATCCGCTTGGCGCTGAAGGCCTTCTGAAAAAATACATTAGTTACTTTTCACCAAAAGAAAGAGATCCGCAAATCACGTACTGGCCCAATCAGAAGGCTATCTGGACTAGAGACATACGGAGGGCCTCATCAGCGAAGAGGTCATCCGGATCCTCAACCGCCCTGGCTACAGCTGGCGGGCCGCCAACTACAGCCAGTTCCGCCAGTACAAGCTCAAGGATGCGCTGATTTATAAGCTAGGTGAGTTCTTCTACCAGCACTACAGCATCACTGCCTTAAACCTTTGTTTCTTTATCTATCCGCTTTGCACTGGAGTGTAGTATAACCTGGTGGCCCAACGACATCTTATATGATGGCGCTGGATGCAGGCCGCTGCCAACCGGTCAAACTGGAAATCAATGGGGGAGTAGGCCCCACCCTTCTGGCGGGAAGAGTCCCTCATAACCCCTAGCTGCACCCGCGACCTTGGGTATGCGAAAAGCATTTCCACATGTAAAAAGTCCTATGTTCAGCAGTAGACTTCCTGTGATTGAAACATTGATGATGATGCTGAGTAATTCTTCACCACACAGATACTCGGCAAGCCGAGTTTTTTTTAACCTGTCCAGGCTGCTTCATTAGCGATTAGGCGATGCTCACTCGAGTATCACCTACGTTTTAGTTGAAGGAGATTCTGGTAACCTGCCCCCTGGACAAAGTACAAATACAACACTATTCTTCTTATTCTACATTAGTCTACATTTTAATAAGAAGGATGTTTAAAGTCCTACTTGATTTACCTACCTGTTCAGTTTACTTAATTCGTCACCAGCTTTTCTATCTACATCTAAATCAAATGTTACAAGCCTGCCGATTACGCAAAAAAACAACAACAATAACATAACATGTTATTATAACATTGTAGTCATAATGAATTCCAATGACATACGCGTTCTGATTTAAAATAAAATAATTGACATTCGTGACTGGAATTGGTTCAGATTAGAATTTAGTACGAATTTGGCGTTTTGTAACGAATGTAAAGGTTGAAGTCGTGTCGGGCAGGCAATGTGACAGAAATCACGAGGCAGTGATATGGGGTTTTATGTGTGACGATTTTAAGTTACAAAAGCCTAAGGACTGGTCCATATTGTTCCGAAGCAGTGGTATACATAATTATTATACCGAGACTACTTGCAAAATAAAATGAACTTGCCATAGGCCTTAAATACCAGCCATCCGGCGAGGGAGAAAATTTTAAATTGATCTAAATTAGATCTTTCTTAGGCTTTTGTAGATACCTATTTTAATTTTGATCGAAACTATGATCAAATATTGCTTTTTATGGAGTAGGTAACTACTTACATAATTAATTATTTGCAAAAAGTATTTCTGAACTTTTATTACTATACCACAAAACCGTCTCGTGTAAATCCCTTATTTACCATGTTATTGTGTTGTGAACACGCCTAAGGCCCAGTTTTTTGATTCATAGTTAAAATAACAAATTGTTAAATTTTGCTACTAATGGTTAAATATTAACAAAATGTTAACTCATAGTTAAAAAATGTACTAAAAGTCTAGCTAACCATTGTTCGAAAAACATTTTTCTCTGATATTTAACCACTTGTCATTTGACATCTGTCAAACTTGACCATTGGTTATTTTAACTACGAATCAAAAAACCGGGCCTAAGAAATAAAATGACAATGCTGATATGATCGCTGTATGCATGCCAGGTGTTTGTTTGAAATGGTCCATGATCCAGTTCTTAGTGTGACCTTTCCTCCTCCTGCCTGTGAGATAGCACCATCATCTTTGAAACATCCTTTGTAACTGTGAAGTTTTGAAAAATGATTTTGTGTGGCTACCTATTTTTTATATATTTTTTTAAAACAGAAAGAAAACTTTACAAGTGCATGAATAAAATAAAAACATGAACATTATAATTTCATGTAAGATCCAATTTTGGACCAAGCTCCTTCTAAATTAAATATCCTTGGACATTTTACACTGCGCCTCTAGTCCCAAACTAAGCAAAGCTTGTACTATGGGTACTAGACAAGACAACGGATATAAACATACTTAAATACTTTTTTTTGTAAATACATACATAATTATTATACATAGTAACACCCAGACCCGTCACAGAAATAAAAAATTGCCTAATAACGATATCAACAAATGCACACAATGACAAAACATCTCATACAAATTCATCATGCGCCCGCGCATCTAATCTGTAGTATTCCCACAATCTAGATCAGATTAACGTCATTCGACACGCTACAAGGGATTTGCAACCTTATCGTTTATTTAGAAAGGTGAAACTAAGTTCAACCCTTGACTTTCACTTTGTTGACATCCACTATCTAATCGACTTTCGCTGAACAATACTTGAAGATAAGTCAACAAACAAAATCATATTTTACTTAGGTACATCATGATGTGGGTAGGTGCGGACTTAGTAATAGCAGTAATAGCCCAAAAATAGAGGCGTATACTGGGTGGGTGTGTAAGAAACCAGTTAAAAAAAGTTATACCTCTCTGGGTCTTCAGAGGTTACGGGTTCGATCTCTACAAAATATACTGGTCATCACAAAAATACGTTTTACAGGTAAACTCGTTTCTACTGACACAATCATGGTGCCCCAACAATATTGGTGTTATTTGAAAGCCCAATAAATATCCTTAAAGAAAAACACATTTAATTTCCTAATAAACGATTAACATAAACGCGATATAGTACAATAAATGTGACTTGAAAAAAGACCTCACTTTGGGCTCACCTCTGGGATCAATTAGACCAATTTTTATGGTTATAAAACCAAATAATGATCTCACGTGTCCTCTTTAACAGATGGATAGTGATTAATCCCAACTTAACAGTTTTATAGCCATAAAAGTTGGCTCAAGCGTAACTACGTATTTTTTGAAGAAGTGACTCTGGATTCTTCTACAGACACATTTTTGGGGTAAAAACCTTTCCTGTGATGAAATTAAGTTTAGAATTAGGCTTTTAAATGGTGCCAATATTGGTGGGAAGTGGGGATACATACGTTTGAAAGTGCTTGTCGCGGGGGGGTCGATTTTTGTGATGACCAGTGTATTTTAGCAATAGATAGCTAAAAAGTATGTCCGGATGTCCGCGCATATTTAAAGATCATAGCACACTTATCAACCCGGAAAGGTATCAACACCGTATCGAGGAACGCGGGTTCTCTGGTATTGTGGTGAACCCACTCGTAACACAAGCATATTTAGCTTACCGTCAAACTTCATGATGACGTAAGACGTCAAACTTTATCATGAGGGCAGAAAATGCAGTGGTGACTCTATTTTCATTGTTTTTCTAACTGTCACTTGTTTCTCTTCCAGGTACCCTCCCCCTATCCCGCGAGACTCTCCGCCTGAACCCCATCAGGCCCATCGACAATGGTACGCTAGTCCCACGGAACTTCGACGCTAGACAGAAATGGCGAGGATTCATCTCTCCCGTGGTTGACCAGGGCTGGTGCGGATCCGACTGGGCTGTGGTAGTTGCCACTGTCACTTCTGACAGGTAATGTCATCACCTTACTAAACTGATTTTATTTTGTGGCTATCAAAACTTTCTGCACTGGAGGGACGTCAAATCATAACTTCGAATTCCTAGTATATTCTTCTGATTAATTTCGTTGCGGGTCCAATGACACTTTAACTTACCCCCGGAACAATCTTGACCTTCACTGGATGGGTTTTTTTTATTGGCAGTCATATTTTAGAAATCTTTGAATTCCAAATCCGACCTCTGGTTCCATTCCATAAAGAGGATTTAGAACGCTATTTGGATCAATTATGTAATTGCTCAATAATGAATAATAAATAAAATTAAAAAAAAAATAAAAAAATCCTCCAAAAATATGCCTTTTTCATAGATTAAAACCTAGAGTACACGCAGTAGACCATTCTACCTCACTTTAAACGTCACATCAAGCACGATGAAACTCTCCCACTTTCAGAAAAATCACATTCAATTTCAAAATATTTATAAATAATCTTAATATTTAATCGTCTATAATGTAATTTTAGTGTAAACGTGGAAAGCATTAGGGGAGGCCTATGTTCAGCAGTGGACGTCCTATGGCTGAAATAATGATGATGATGATGAATGTAATTTTTTCACAATGGCATGACAGTGAATAAGATTTTACCTCACTTTGACGAAGCGCTTGTAAGTATGAAGACTATCCACTATCCTCGTAGGCTTCAATATTAAGGTCTTTTTATTAACCTCCTTACTTACAAGTTAAAAATAACTTGCTGGCTAAAATTACGGGAAAGAGGGGATATCCTAACACAAAACATTTCAAGAAACGTAACACGAGACACTATAAACCCGCAAACACTGTACAACTTCAGAAGCGTAACTTGAGAATACTCCAGCTTAAGGAATGCCTTTCTTGCCTTGTTAGTCTAAAAATAAACCCGGCTCAGTGAAATCTCGAGGGCTCTTAAACCAAGGTTAATAGCTCTTAGTATAATGAACGGTTTGTGTGTAAGTTAAGGCAATTTGAAGCTGGATATGCAGGGATGGCGAACCTTTATATATCAAGTACGTGCCACTTTTCTAAAAACATGTTTGTTGATTGAAATGGACCATTGCAGCCATCAACTTAGCACTAGTTAAATCAATAAGGGGTATCGTAATAGAGGCGCTACTGGTGAGTGACTATATCAGTACTATGAGAGGCGCTACTCTAGTGATTGCAATAAAATTATGATAGTTTTTCTATCCTTTCATCGCTCACCAGTTGACCAAGATTAGCCAAAAGAACTATCATTGATGCCTCCGACTGCATTTATTCGCACACCACCAACTTTTAGCCGATAGTTGGGCCCGATTCTAATTTGTATAAGGAATCGGCCGATATCGAATCGGTTTAGGCGGTTATCACACTGCGCCGCGCTCCGTCGCGGAGCGCGGGACGACAGATTTAATCATTGTATGCAAGTACCTCAGTTTGTATAGAAAACACACGCGGCAATTCACACTGAAAACGCGTCTCCGCGCGTGATTTTTTATATGAAAATCACGCGCTCCGCGGCGGAGCGCGGCGCAGTGTGATAACCGCCTTAGTGTGCGCGTGCGCACTTTCATCTTTTTCTGTGCCAAATAAATTATTCTTTCTTTCTTTCTTTCAGATATGCCATCCAGTCGACAGGAGCCGAAGTCCTGGTGCTCTCCCCTCAGTCGCTCCTGTCCTGCAGCCGGAAGAACCAGCGCGGATGTGATGGAGGCCATATCGACATAGCGTGGAACTTCGCCAAGAACTTTGGGTAAGGCCCCAAGTGTTTTTTTATGTAGAACAGGTAAATATTTGACTCAAAGGTGACTGACTGACTGACATAGTGATTATTATCAACGCACAGCCCATACCACTAGACGGTTCGGGCTGAAATTTGGACGTAGGCATCCGCCAAGAAAGGATTTTACGAATCTACACCCCTAAAGGAGGTAAAACGGGATCCACGCGTACGAAGCTAGTTGCAATATAAAGGCCCGGATAAATAGTTTTCAGGATAGACAGGAGTAAGCGGCAGCGAATTCCAGTCCCTAGCATTTCGCTTTTTAAGATAACAGAGAAACGCTTAGTGCGAACTGGTGGAATATCAGCAAATATTATTCGTTTCAGCTTAAGATAAAGATTTCCACTACGACCGGTCCTGCAATGCCCGCTTCCAGCTGCTTCCCGCGACCTTCACTAGATTTAGAAAGAAAGAAAGATACATTTATTACAATGGACATCACACAAATACAGGCAATTACATAGACATGACAGTGGCACATAATAATAAAAGAAGAAAAAAATAAAACAAGAGTAAACTGAGCAGTGCCACCCATTCACCAAAAAGATGCCCACTGCAACGGGACCCCACTCAGCATATGCCGTGGCCCACGGTGACGAAGGCCACGGCGCTGGTTTTCAGTGTGCCCCATGCCGAGTGAGGGTCACGGACCATTGGTAAAATAAATAAAATAGTAAGCTGCATAAAATTGTCTAGATAAACATACATATCTAAATAGTAATATTAGTGCACAGATAAATACAAAAGGCGGGAAATCGGTAAGGATGATAAGACTACGTTTATTAAGAATACTAATGAAAAGAATACTAATAAAAAGATAAAACTGTTTGTATAGGTGTGTGTGTAGTATTGGTAAAGTAATATTGTGTTAATTTAAGATACCTTATGTAGATATCATATATCTATGTTAGTTAAAATTGCCTCCTTTTAATAACTATGACGACATCGTAAAAGTAGCAGGAAGGCGCTGGACACAGGCCGCTACCAACCGGGCAACATGGAAAGCATTGCCATTTGGTCCCTCCCGGCATAGGTTCAGCAGTGGACGTCCTATGGCTGAGATGATGATGAATAACTATGTTTATTTCTGACACTGTAGGATTTATCGTTCGTTCGTTCGTTAAAGCCAAATGACGTCCACTGCTGGACAAAGGCCTCCTCCAAGGTTTTCCACAATGCACGGTCCTGCGCTGCCCGCATCCAGGCTCTTCCCGCGACCTTTACCAGATCGTCGGTCCACCTAGTAGGAGGCCTGCCCACGCTACGTCTTCCAGCCCGTGGTCGCCGCTCGAGAACTTTTCTGCCCCAACGGCCATCGTCTCTACGAGCTATGTGCCCCGCCCACTGCCACTTGATTTTAGCAATTCTGCGAGCTATGTCGGGTAGGGTAGGATTTATATCACGCGACTAATTCAACGACCACATCATACCTACCCAACATGTTTGTTGTCTATAAGGATTTTGGACTAAATAACCAATTTTTCATTCTTTATTTCTTTCAACAGATTGGTAGACGAAGACTGCTACCCGTACGAGGCCACAGCGTCCGCCTGCAAGCTTCGGAAGCACAGGACCCTTCAGGAGGAGGGCTGCCGGCCGGCGGTGCCCCGGCGCACTCAGCGCTACAAGGTCGGGCCCCCCGGCCGTCTGCAGAAGGAGAGAGACATCATGCTGGACATCATGCAGTCCGGGCCTGTGCATGGTGAGTTCGTTCGTTCGTTCGTTTCAGCCGAAAGACGTCCACTGCTGGACAAAGGCCTCCCCCAAGGATTTCCACAAAGACCGGTCCTGCGCCGCTCGCATCCAGGCACCTCCCGCGAACTTCACCAGATCGTCGGTCCACCTAGTGGGAGACCTGCCCACGCTACGTCTTCCGGCTCGTGGTCGCCACTCAAGAACTTTCCTGCGCCAGCGGCCATCAGCTCTTAGAGCTATGTGCCCCGCCCACTGCCACTTGCATGGTGAGTGCGTCATCATTATTCCCCCTTGTTTTGACGCGGAGGAAATGCTTTGCGCACCGTCACCACTGGGACTGGGGTGTGTGGGACTCCCGGAGCCCTGAGTAGGGCGCTGCTCCGATCTGAAAAGGACGGGATATTATACCCATTAAAACCTCCGCGGCGTTCCGTCATCGCCCTAGTAGAGGTGTCAAGAGTATGCGGCCGTAGCCTTTAGACTTCCGCGACAATCATCATCCCCCTAGCCTAGTAGCGAAACGATAAAGTTTTTGTTTTCGAAATAATTTTGCTCTGGCTTTTTTTGCAGTTACTTTGTTCCGTGAAAGGATTCTATCTTTTTCATCATTATCATCATCATCATCATTTCAGCCACAGGAAGTTCACAGCTGGACATAGGCTTCCCCCAATGATTTCCTCATCGCCCTGCATCCAGCGTTACTAATTGATACCTTTTTGGACGTCTCGTTACTACTCGCTTTTTCACGACATTGCCGGGCATTTCACGGTCAGAGTTACGTCATTGTTATATTTTGTGGTTTTACTAGGGAAGAACCGAATTATTAAAAAAAGCATTCTAAATATTTGCAATGTGTGTGGCTAAGTGCTGTCGTCAATCGATATCTCTTTACGATAAAAATATAGATTTTTGTATGTTCTGATTCGTTATCAAGTAAACAAATAAATGACTGCATTCGATGCCCTTGGTGTCGCATTTGTACATATCGGTCATTTAGAAATTGTTGCAATTTCGTTGATAAAACATACACGTGTAACATTTTCAAAGACATGTTTTTTTTAACCGTATCGCGCTCGGGTTGTGCCTACGGCTACAGGCAACGCCATCTCTTAACATTTTGAAGAACTTTTTGTTGTTGGGTTTTCTTAATGAGAAATTCTACTGTGTTGTACCTAGTCGAAGATATTTTTTTCTTGAACTCTACTTTTTATACATGCTTTGATTTTTTGGTCTACTTACAGTTTAGGCTATATTGTCGCTACTTAAGTGATCTCTTTTTCTTAGACATCCCGATAGTTGAAATTGAGAAAGTACCTACGTAAAAAAGCTAACATCTTCAAAAATAACTAGGTAGGCACAGCTTGTTACCAAAAACGCCTCAATTCGTTGTTTTACAAATACATACAAGCATTATTTCAAATTCGTCATCATCATTTCAGCCACAGGACGTCCACTGCTGAACATAGTCCTCCCCCAATCATTTTCCACATCGCCCGGTTGGTAGCGACCTGCATCCAGCGCCTTCCTTTAAGTTTCAAATTGACCAAAGTAATTATTTTCTTTCAGCGATCATGTCGGTCTACCAAGACTTCTTCCACTACCAGGATGGCATCTACCGTCGGTCGATGCACGGCAACAACCAGCTGAAGGGTCTTCACAGCGTCAGGATCGTGGGATGGGGTGAGGACCGCGGAGAGAAGTACTGGGTGAGTCTCTACTTTCATTCTAGAAGATTATCTGTTTCATTATTCATCATTTCAGCCACAGGATGCCCACTGCTGAACGTAGGCCTCCCCCAATGATTTTCACATTGACCGTTGGTAGCGGCCTGTATCCAGCGCCTTCCTGCTAATTTTATGAGTCCACCTTGTGGGTGGACATCCTACGCTGCGCCTTCAAATACGTGGCTTCCACTCCAGAACCTAGCTGTCGCATCAGCCGTCAGTTCTGCGTATTACATGTCCTGCCCATTGCCACTTCAGTTTGCTAATCCGTCGGGCTATGTCAGCGACTAGCCTTACCAAAAGGCAGGGCCGGATCTACCTATGGGCTGATTGGGCTGCAGCCCAGGGCCCCAGGGTTACAAGGGGCCCCCAGATCCCGCTAAAAAGTAGGACTCACGATCCGGCCCTGCCAAAAGGCACGAAGATTTTAGCCTTACACTCTCGACATATTCGCATATTTGTGCTTTAGTCGCCTTTTGACGCATGGTCAGAGAGAGTGGTCTCGTTATACCTACCTACTCTTCATCATCATCATCAGTAAACATGATGTCCATCTATACATCGGCCTACCCATCAATTTTTAGATTGCCCAGTTAGAAGTGGCCTGCTCTAGCGGAATTCAGCAACCTTTATAATTAAACTGCGGCGAACTTTGTTCCGCCTTAATGGAAATAAATAAGCAGACTTTTTTTTATTTCGAACGGGATAAAAAGTATCCTATGTCCTTCTCCTGGCTCTAAACTACCTCCCTGACAATTTTCAGCTAAATCGGTTCAGCCGTTCTTGAGTTATAAGTGGAGTAACTAACACGACTTTCTTTTATATTGTATATAGACTAGCTGACCCGGCGAACTTTGTTCCGCCTTAATGGCAATAAATAACGGGATAAAAAGTATCCTATGTCCTTCTCCTGGCTCTAAACTACCTCCCTGACAATTTTCAGCTAAATCAGTTCAGCCGTTCTTGAGTTATAACTGGAGTAACTAACACGACTTTCTTTTATATAATAGATATAGACTGTGCGTCTTAGACCATTTAGTCACGACTCACGATCCTCTATAACAGCGGTTCCCGAAAGATGGTCCGCGGAACCCTGGGGTTCCGTGGAAAGGCCGCAAGGGTTCCGTAAAAAATATTATCCCACGTTTCGTGACCGACGTTGTTCGCTCGCACCGACTTGTTTACGCACACACAAGGAAGGGGCAGGGCATGCGGGCGGAGTAGTACGGGGGTTCCGCTAGGAAAAGTATTTAATCAATTAGGGTTCCTTGGCAAACAAAATTGGGAAACCCTGCTCTATAACATGGGTTACCTACGTGAGTGCGACAAACGTTACATCGAATGTTGTTTCTTCGAAAACCTTTCTGCGAAGTTATTATACTGCGACGCCTTGTTATATCGATGCCTTGTTATTGTGATGTTACGTTACATCGAAAAACTTTACTGCGAACGATTTTACTGCGAAGCCTTCTTTATTTGACTTAGCAGATAGATAAAAAAATAAAATTACATACATACATACATAGAATAAAGTGGGCGGTACAAAATTATAGATGAAATAAGATTATAAATACATTAAATTGTATTTACTTATTACATATATTTAACAGTAACATCTCTGATTAAATAACATAAGAATAGAAACATAAATATAAATAAATTATAAAATATGACTTTAAAATCGTTCGCAGTAAAGTTTTTCGATGTAACGTAACATCGCAGTAACAAGGCATCGATATAACAAGGCGTCGCAGTATAGTAACTTCGCAGAAAGGTTTTCGAAGAAACAAAATTCGATGTAACGTTTGTCGCACTCACGTAGGTAATGGTTCAATTTGGTTCCCAAAGTGGGAGGCGCAAGGACCTTTAAAGGGGGGCGCGGGCCATCTGTGTACTTAAGTAAAATCCTACGACCGCTGAGAGAATGCATTCCAGACTGCTCGATACGACCAATAAATAATCTTGACTGGAGGCTTGCCCGGATTTTTTGTATGGTCGAAAGGGGGCGCGGCTCAAATAAGTTTGGGAACCAATGCTCTATAGTTTATCTACAGAGTATAGACTCTTACGCAGTCTTTTGGTGCAATGTTTATTTGGAGAAAAATGTAACCAAACCTTTTTCCAGATCGTGGCCAACAGCTGGGGACCGTGGTGGGGTGAGAACGGTTACTTCAGGATCGCTCGCGGCGTCAACACAGCAGACATTGAGACCTTCGTCATCAGCGTGCTGAGTGAGGTCACGGAGTCCTACAAGAAATAACATAGAGCCGATGGCCATCTCATCACCCCGCTGTGTGTGTACACTAAGGTTATACATACCAAATGGGGACCAGTTCTGTTGAATGTGACCAGAGACTTCGGGTAGTTTTGGATGTAAGGTTATGATGCAGTCGCTTATACGATGCAGTTGCAATGCTGCTATTTTGTAAGAAAAAGTTTCAGTATAATTCAATTGAATTACCTAATAAATATTTTAGATTAATAACGTTACATCCAAAACAATATAGAAGAACGAGCTTAGAATTATGAAATAAGTCAATCGATTACCATAGAGTCGACTAACGTTAATATTGTTAATACTTTTCAGAGGCAGCATTACATTAATATTATAATACTTTTGATAAAAATAATGATAACTTTGTAAGATTCAATTAAAACTGAAGAGTCAATTAAAAGTTATTATTAGTGATGGGACCACACAGAGAACTAAAACTTGTCGATATCGATACTTAAATAGTTCTCGGTTGGTCCAGCCAATGTTCTAAATCTAAATCGAATATGCGGCCTTGGTATTATCTTAGTCTAGATAGTTACGATCTCCCACAGATTAGCTGTGTAAGTAAAAATATATTTTTTTACGTATTAATACTAATGACAGTCATTTTAATTGTAATGACAAGTATATCGATTGTATAGGAGTTGTAAAACGCTTTTCTTTCACATTTAAAGTTATTTATGTCTGTACAGTATTTTACACTGTATTATTTGTGAATCTTTAACTGCCATTTAAAGGAGTAGGTAAATGTCTTTGCTTATTAAAAAAAGATCTGAGAAAATAATACCAATAAAAAGCTTACCTGATTATTGTTTTTATAATTCTTGTGTTTATCAAAGACCTCGGTCTTGGGCCCTTCTAGGCTTCTAGGCTCAACAGAATAATAATGTAGTGTTATTCTAGAATCACGAATGTTTGAAATATCAAATTATCGATAGTATTTTTTTTTAAAACGTTAACGTCTCTAATGATTGTAATAATGTGCCAATATTTCAATATTGTTCATCATAAGCAAAGACGTAGTAACATAGTGACTTATATGAATATACTTAAGTACGCTACTTAAAATTAATACTTAATAAAAAAAGTTTAACTAGTCTTAGGTTCAAATAATTACATAGCGTAATACATAATTTAGGTAACATTTTAACAAAATATTTATCACGTGCCTAGTATTATCTTTTATTATTTTAAATACATTTTAAATTCGAAATTGAATTGAAAATAAAATAAAACAAAAACCTAAAACATGTTTTGATGAGTTAAATAAATAATGTACTACTTATAACGTTTATTAAACTTATCCATTTTTAATTTTTGACTTCTGTAAGTACTTATGTAAAATTCTTACTGTTATACCATATTTATTAAGGTTTTAGAGGTACTTATTTGTATTTATAACTTTGTTCATTAGTGCTAAGTTGATTTTAAACATTTGAATAAATACGAGTAAAATTATTTATACCTGCCTAATTAATTCCTAAATAACTTAACAGAACCTCCTCCTTCGGTTAAAAATAGACTCACATCATCACATCGAATAACTTATCCACCTTTATCCGCCTCTGTGGTCTAGTGGTAAGACCACCTGCTTCAGACGCAGAGGTCCCGGGTTCGATTCCCAGTGGGCGCAGATTTTTCTGTTCGGTTTGGTTGGTGTTAGGGCTTGTTCTAAGTCCAAGCAATATCTATGCTTCGTCTTAAGTAGTATTTTACTAAACAACAATTATTTCTGGTTAGTCGAACCCAGGACCTCCGAAACAAGAGAGTCTAACTCTTTAGCCACTACTCCACAGCGCTTATTACCCGACTACGGCAAAGCCAAAGGAGGGTTATGATTTTGACAGGCTATGTATGTATGTATGTATGTATGTTCATCTGTTCCCTCGTAACTTCTAAACTACTTATCAGAATTTGACAAATGACATATCATTAGAAGCGTCTTAATTGTCCGCTGGTTATAGGATATATGGGGTTTCACCAAATCTAATGTGGCGCCCTCTAGCGGACATAACATACAGAGTAAAAAAATAAAGTTAAGATAAATATGCCGTGTTTGGTATCATTTGAAAGGGCTTTACTTGTACATTTTGAATATATATATATTACTAACATTTGCCTGTGACTTTACCTGTATTCATGGGCTGATTGCATATAATTCACATTTTTTCGTTCATTGCTTCTTTACTATCATCATCAATTTAACTTTTGTTAATATTATGCGCCACAAATACACTTTAACACCAAAATGGTACAAATAATAAATAAAAAGTAAAAAAACTAATTTTTAAGTAACATGACATTTAAACGTTATTATGTGATTCGTGTTGTTGTCTCCGTGGTCTAGTCTAGTGGTTAGATCACACCAGAGGTTCCGAGTTCGATTCCCAGTGGGGACAGCATTTTTTTTGCTCGGTTTGTTGGTTGATACATATTAAGTAGTTACCTAAGTCTATCGCCATAACAACAATGTTTAACAGCACTGTTGTTTCAACAGTCAGTAAATATTATTATGTTTGGTAGAAGTAAAGTACCTAGCCAGTTCCTCTATGGTTGATTCTTGGTGAAGTTCGCATCCACCTTAGGCCTGATCATCACAATTTCACAGGTTAGATGTAGGTAGGCCAAGAGCTTACGAATGAAATGAAATCTTTAATCAATATTGATTATGTTAATGAGTAAAACTACTTTTTTCCATCCTATTTATTTAGCACCCTATTAGTAGGTAAGTATAGGTAGACATAGCCGCACTAAGTAAATAGTCGTATTTAGTTATGCACGAAGCATCCCCAATATTTTGCCATTGCATCTAGGTGAGTAAGTACTGACGACCGCACGAATTTACATTGTTGTTCCAAACTAACTCCTATTACAATTAAATTAAGCCGCACTGTTTTAACTTGATGTTTCGTCGCTGTACTTCTGTCGCCAAAAGCGCGGCAAAATAACAATGGCCGCTAGAAAAAAATCGCAAGCAACGGGCATAGCATTTCCGAGTTGGTGGCCGAGTCGCCGCGGCGCGGTTCTTCGCTCGATTCTGCGACGCGGCCCGCCCCGCACCGACTCCGCCCGCTCCTCAGTGAACACGTAGTTCTAAAGCAAAGCGGACGTTCATGTCAAAATGAACGAAGAACTTTTGATAGGTCTAGTCCGCCAATACCCCGGGCTATTCGACCCATTTGACAAAAAGTACCACGACGAATTATGGAGAAATTCAATATGGTGTGAAATAGCGCATATTATGGAAGAGAATCGTAAGTATTTTTCGATTTTTTTGTTTCACGCACCGTGAACGCGTCGCCTCGCCGTGTCGCGTCGCCGCGGCCATGATGTCTTTCTCTAATCTGTCGTCCCACTCTGTAAAACGAACCCTTAAATAAGATACGTCCATCTCTTTCACTCCTATTGAAATACCCAATTGAGTGACAAAGTCGAGTTCGCAAACCGAATTCGATCGTTTTGCGAAGTAGACGCTCCTGTACCTTATACGGATTACGTCAAATGCTGGGTTCTCTCAATTTAATGTCTTATGTCGATGAAAATACGATCGCTTTTTGTTATTTTTCCCTTTTGAAACGGTTTTGCCGCCGAAAACTACGAAGAGTTGTAAAATAAAACTGTAACTTGAACTTTTAAATAACAAGCCACCGAAATGTTTTTTTCTAACTTTCCTAAACTATAAGTGTACATAATCAATTACAAAATTTAACACCACTGTTTAATTTATTAATTAATTAAGTACGCTGTACGCCTAATATAATTTTCATTGTTAAGATTATCTTTCACGTAAAGGTGTTTTTTTTTACGGATTAGAGTCAATCATGGTGATTTTTTAATTGAAAATAATTTACTTATATCATCGTTGTTTATCGATCCCTTTAAAATAAGAAACAGTAGTGTTTGCTAAAATGTTTTCTCAAGTGAATAAGACAGTTTTAAAGTTTTAAAACACGCGTCTCTCGATCTCCAGTATCCACAAAGTACTTTTCCGTGTGGATCGCCATGCTAAACTTTGCGGGTTCGATTCCCGCTTCTACCTACGAAAATGTTGTTGTACCTACTTACTTACGTCTGGATGTTTTCATTGTTATGTTACCCGCAGTCTGTATAATCCGGCATTCCAAACAATACCTACCTAGGCAACGTATAGAATACATATTTTCATACATACTTTTACTTAATAAAATGAAAAGGGGGGATTTCTGTGACAGGTCAAAATTTACGTAGGCGCGGGCAAAAGCTAAGTAGATGTTTTATTTAATTATTAAAATAAACTGTATTTTCAGCTGACACATGCAGAGCGAGATGGAAAAGGATACGCGACAACTTCAGACGCGCGAAAACTCTCAGGAAAACCAAAATGGCGCAGGGCAGCACGAAAAATAAGCCGGTCAAGTATGAGGAAGAGCTGGCGTTCCTCAATCCGTTGCTAGGAGAAGACACTGTGAGAGGTAGACCCAGGACACCGCTGGGGCTGATGATGGAAGACGACGGAGACCAGACCCTGTCGCCGCCATCCCCTGGCTCCGAAACCAGAAGTAACACAGCCTATAAAAAAAGAAGAATGAGCAACGGCCAGTCCTCAATGCGTACTCTCCTCCATTCGTACTTCCACAACAGCAGAACCGGCGAGCCGATTGTCGTAGACTTCTTCACAAACCTAGGTAGAACAGTCAACACGTTCCCCGAAGATGTCCAGATCAGAATTAAATCAGAAGTATTTAAGATAATAAACCACGCGGAGGGTGAAGTGCTTCAAAGGAAGGTGGAATCTGGCAACTTTGAACAGCCGTCAAATTTCCCTGTGATGATGATCCCCAATCAATCTCCTAACCACGAGGGTACCCAGAACGAGAACTGCTACTCACCTGAAGTGGAAATAACAGTGGAACCGAAAACGGAAATATTGACGGATGAAAACTGTGATGAATCCTCGTGATTAGGAAGTTTTAATTAATTTTATCGGTATTAATACATAATAAGTAGGTTATTTTTAAATGGAGAACATTCCTGGACTTTTTGCGTTAAGCCAAATGTTGTGTTTTATGTTGTTTTCACGTGAAGACTGTTTAAAATCTCTTTTCATGTAGTGAAACCAATATTATTTTCACAGAAAGTGACTAAGAACTGGTGCTACTTATGATATCAGCATTTACCTACCCCATGCAGTGGGATTTACTTTACCTACACATTTGTTTTGCACTGTTAATGTGATACCTATTATCTACCTAAATACTTAATTATTTATGGAGAAAAGAAATTATGTGCTAAAAGATTGCGCTAAAAATGTCTTTAGCAGAAAGATAATTTTCATGAGTTGTTATTTACATGTTATGTGCCTCTCTACTTCGTTGCAATGGGCAATAAACTAGTGAAATAAATAAGTAACTAAGCTATGTAGGGTAATTTGAAAATTACATAATAATTATGAAACTTGAAGAGCAGTCTTAATTGTGATTAAATTGTGAAGTAGGTTGAAATAAATAATATTTTTATAAGAAATCAATTTGTTTTACTTGTTGCTTTTTAATCAACGGAGTTGCGCAGTGAAATGCCTTGACCCCCCAGGTTCAATATCTGGTTCAAGTGACTAGATTGGTTAGAAAACTTAGGAAAGAAAAGCTTCAATCCGAACATCTCGTTACAGACTTTCTTTAATCCCCTTTTTTCCTGCTTTTCAAAGTTTATTTACATAAATTGATTATCTATTTGCTATTAGTTAAAGTTCATCCATCAAAAGTGTCTGAGGCGTAAGTTTACCCCAATAAAAAGGCCATACTACAGTCAGTATTATTTTGCTTTTAGACTTTTAGTTTGCAAAAGCGACTTTCTGTTAGGAGCAGTTAAAAAATTAGAGATGAAACTCCTTATCTGACTGTGGATGAAACGGATAGTTGTTTTTTTTATGTGACAGGACGCAAACGAGCTGCTGGGCTGGGTCACCGGTTTGGTCGGATACGGATACCGGATATATCTGGCGAGCTGCTAGGCCGGAATAAAAAACGTTTTTTGCTTCTCCTTAAAAGTCGTACTTTGTCCTTTACGACCTTTGTGCCCAGAGGTATCAAAATGGGATATCGAATTAAAATAATTCGATCATTTGACTTATTGATCAAAATTAAATAGATGAAATAAACTGTCGACCTACTGTATTTCGATCATTTAAACTGTGGACTAAGCCTAGGCGCAGACCAGCGATTTTTAGTCGGCCGATAGTTGGGCCCGATTCTAATTTGTATGAAAAATCAATCGGTGTAATGTGCGCACTTTCATACATGCCCATATTGCCCATACTGATCAACTGCCCGACTATAAACTATCGCCCAAACTACTTATCGCCCGACGAAAAATCGGAACCACCGACGTCGTAAAAACTTTCGGGTTCAATTATGGGTTCAAACAAACAATCGCCGAGGTGTCATCGATGAATCGTAATTCGACGAGAAGTGTTTCGAATCGAAATGGAGTAGTGAACCCGATATGGATATATAGATGCAGCTCATGCAGCACATAAAAAGTACTTTGTGATGCAGCATGTTAAAAAAAATTATGAAGACGAAGACCACAAAAGACTTAGAACAAAATAGACACAGACGCACACAACAGAACATAGAACCAAACATTGCAAAATAGCAAAGAATTGGCTGTATGGATCTATGTACCTATATCCAAAGTCGTAAAACTTCTATGAAAAAAAAAAACGAGCGTGCCACTTTTTAAACGTCATTAGTATCATTTTAGTGATTGCCTCCGGAACGTAAAAATAGTCGTATCATCGTATTGCAATCGCATAGTCATCGAGAGGTAACGTGGCGTGTGCGTCTCGATTCTATTAATTCCGATATAAATGTTACTGTGAATTAAAATAATTTTGTTAGCGAATTAATTTGATAATAATATTTTTACTGTGCTGAAGTACCTATATTAAAGTAAATTCATAATTCCATATTTTTAAATAACATTCGTCAGTTGCAGGTTCACTTGGGGTAACTGACAAAATACAGTTTTTCAGTAGAGCCGTTTAAAGTTTTTTTTCGTCTTAAATCGGACATAACTTTTTTCCTATTTAACCTTTTTTGGATCTGTTTTTACAGAAATGCTTAGAATTCTACGCGGTTTTAGATTAAATAAAAAGAATTATCTAATATGTCTTAGTTAAGGAAATAAATTGCAGTTACACCAATGTATTTTTGTACTTTTGACAGTTACACTAATTTTAAACCATACTTTTGGAAAAAACATAGGTCAAATTGGTGTAAGTACTGCCCAAATTAAAATAATTTGATGCATTTGCTAGGTTTTGTTTACTTAGTTGCTGTATAATTTATGTAAAAGTATTAAAAAATAAGAGAATTCATGAAAAAATAACATTTTGTCGTTTTCTTATTTTTTTTTTTTAATTTTATTACAAGTAACTTTTATTTTATTCATTAAAAAATGTTAAAAAAAGCTACGAAAATCAAGAAAATATGTGTATTTAATTTTTTTTAAGACAGAAATATTGAAATAACTAAAGTATTACTGTGAAACTAAGTAATTTCAATATTTTTTTAAGCTTTGACTTACCAATACCGAATTTAGCTCAACGGGGCAACTTAAACTGATAACAAAATGGATTTAATTTCCCACCTCTTTATAGCAATGTTGAATTAAGGTCATGAGTACTACAACAGTAAAGGTAACAGAGTAACAACAGGTTAATGTTAGCAACGCGCAGTGACGCCTAATTGGCTGGATAGTTTGCTCAATTTCAATATTTTTTTTTTGTTGAGCTAACTTTATCTTCTTTAACTGATACTGCTGGTATAATAATAATGTAATATGCCTTAAAATTTTCTAAATTCTTATTTTATTTAATGTTATAAACCTTAGCAAATCAGTGTAATTGCAAAGTTTTGTAGCAAAATTTTTACATTATTACAGATACACCAATTTAACGTGATAAAATTATTACAATGTCAGTTACACCAAAATTGTGAAGGAAATCTGAAAAGTTCACACCTGAAAATGTCCGTGTGATTGTAATTTTTTTAAAGCTAGAATTTTTTTACGTATACCATTCGAAAGAGCAGAAAAAACTAAGAAAAGCTGTATATTTAACTCAAAAACCGTATTTTGTCAGTTTCCCCAAGTGAACCTGCAACTGACGAATATTATTATAAATACACTGGATCGCAAAGGAAAAGTGTCGTTTATAATATCTTCAATATCTTCAAAAGTATCCGTGGGTCTAATCTAGACAAAATGCACATCAAAATCGCAAACCAGACGAAAAATGGTCGAAATGCCTTTTTTATGAAGTTTTGACGGATTCAATTTTCGAATCTATCAAAACAAACCTTATTTCATTATAATTATAAAGAAATTAAATTAAGCTTTCAAATTCAAGCTTATTATTATTTAAATATATGAAACGAATAAAAATGCGTAGTTTATTTAGCCAATATCTTTTGATTCATAAAGCTAGGTCAGGTACTTTTGAAAATAATAAGATTTCGTAACGACCCGTTTTCATTACGATCCAGTGTAACGATTGAGCAAATCGATTTTAAAATAACAGCGTCTCATCACTCGACGTCTTCTGAAGTTTTCTGACTCTTTTTGTTTATTTGTGCTCTGCTGTGTAAGGTCCTATAATGCCTAATTATTGCACTGTGTGTAGGAACAACTCGATACAAAACAGCGAGGTGTCTTATTTTTTATATCCGAGGGATTTGGACAAGTTAGTATCAACATAATAAACCTACAATAAATTGTATTTTATTTTTACAGCAATATTTAGAGCATTTTCAGTCTCAATTTTTAATAAAACAGCTTCAAATGTTTTTTTTTACAGTAACATTATTGCTAAAAAGAGTTTTTTTGGTATAGTTTTTAGTAATTTTGGTAATTTCATCAAATGTGTTAGGTGGTATGGGTACCTATATCCCTATCTAATAATATTGAGATTGCCTAAACCTTAAATATCTCTAGGTACCTAGATATTAAAATCTTAGCAAGTTAAAAATAAGAGACGTGGACTTTTACCCCTTGTGAGTTTCCAACTTGCATACCCCCAGGGGAAGCTGTCAATAGGTCGATTTTCCATCAAACTTACCTGTCTATTTCACACGAGTTTTACTAAATAAGACATAAGACCTAGGTTACTAAGATGTGGAATTATTACCTAGATGTATGTAGTAAGCCGCCCTCTCTACCTACACAGATAATATAATACTAGTCTACCTATAAACGGTACTCGCAGAATATCAGCGTCGAGGTACTATGTGCTTTGGCATATGCTGAACGAGGACCTGTTTGGTACAATTTTATTTTTAATAATAAGTTTTTTTAATTTGTAATTTGTATTGTGTTGTGCCAAATAAAAGTTTTTTATTTATATTTATTTATTTCAGCATTATAAGTTATTGTGATTTATTACCTATTAAGCATTTGTATTATGCATTTTTCAGAGCACGAGAATGGCTGGAAGTCTGTGACCGTAAGGACCTGCTTGATAGATTGGAATACTTGAAACGAAAAACGCAGAGAATTAATTACAAAATCTGCGAAGAACACTTCGAGAGCAAGTTCATAAAGTTGTCCGGCAACAAGAAATGTTTAACTGAAGACGCGTTTCCAACGCTAAACCTCCCTGGATCAGAGAGCAGCGTCAGAAATAGAAATGAAGAAGGTCTTGGTAAAACAGGGAAGAACAAATATCAAAATTCCAGCTTTAAAGACGCTCTGGGTGTCATAGAGTTCTTCACAAGTTTAGGTCGTACGGCTCACTCGTTCCCCGAAGACGTGCAAATCCGAGTCAAAGGGGAGATATTTGAAGTTGTCAACCAAGCTGAGATAGAAGTACTGCAAAGAAAAATTAAATCTAACAACCAAACAGAAGTGCCAACAGCAATTAAGGAACGGTTAGGCAGTTCGTCACCGTCTAGCAATCCTGTAAAACCGTCTACAAAGTTGATAGCTCCTCTGGAAGTCAGTCAGTTGCAGAAATGTGAAAGATCTGATGGTAATACTGAACTCGAAGTTGTAGTTCTAAAAACAGAAGTCATAGACGAAGAGTACGGAGTAAGAGAGTGCTAAAATACCTAATGTTTATAAGGAGTAAATTATCTGGAAAGGCAGAAGTCCAAAAAAACACAGGGCACCATTGAAAGGTGATGTAAATAAAGACCACTTCTCGCCAAAATGTAGCGCCCTTCTCAATGTTCGATGGAGCGATTTCACAGGCAGTCGTCAAATTCTTGATTGATCAAGTTCGACATTTGGTAATGTGGCTGGAAAGTGGGAGATCTTGTGGCACTCGACTTCTTTCCAGCAGTGGGCGGTTATTAGCAGAAATTATGAAGATGATTGCGGGCAGCGCAAGATGTGCAATCGCAGCTTTGTGCAAATCCTTTGGGAAGGCGTTCGTCCAGTCCAGCAGGTGGTTGAAACAAACGAATTTACGAAGAATAAATTTGTCAATCGACAGCACGTCACACTTCAAAGTAGCGAAATAGCACCGAAAGTGATATCAAGACCATTTTAATTAATTCTTTTATTTAATGATGCTTTTAACTTAATTATAAGTAATAACAAGAAAAAATACCAATAAATAAAACTTTATTTAACGATTACTTAAAATGCGAATTTGTATAACAATATTATTTTGTAATTTAAAACAAACTGTAAAATTGATTATGTCCATTACAACCAAATTATATTATTTTTTGTTTGTTATTCTTCCATTACCGGAAAACGCAGCGTGGGACGTCCACCCACAAGGTGGGCCGACGACATCATAAAGGTAGCAGGGAAGCGCTGGACGCAGGCCACTACCAATCGATCAACATGGAAAGCATTGGGAGAGGTCTATGTTCAGCAGTGGACGTCCTATGGCTGAAATGATGATGATGATTCTACCATTTTGTAATAATGAAATCACTTAGCAGATAAAAAACAAAACACAACATATTTTTAAAATAACTTCAAAATATTTTTAAAATTGCTGTCACAAACATACTTAAAAGAGGTATGTACACAAACTAACATAGCATCTCCTCTTCTTTGGAAGTTGGTTAAAAATAAATCTCAGGTGTACTTACAAGCCTAATAAATCAACAATTAAACAGTATTACCAATAAAAAAATTGCTAACTTATAATAAATGTATGTACTTTTGATAACAAAGTTCTACTAATCTACTTAAGTTGCACGGACTTTCATGAGTTGCACAATTTGATAAGTGTAGGTATCCCTCCCTATTCACCGTGGCTGGCAAAGAAGCCTTGATCACACGTACCGAGTAAACGGGCGAGACAGTAAAATGTTTACTCGGTCGAGACAGTTGGGTGAGCGAGTCACATACTCGAGCGCTCGGTCGAGTACTCCGTAATGTTCATATACACACCGAGAGCACTGTCTCGCCCGTTTGCTCGGTACGTGTGATCAAGGCAATACCTACCGATACCAGAGTAAATACAAATGAGTAGATTATCTTCATAGAAACGCACCGAGCGCGGTTTGTATGTGAGCGCGCCAATACGTATGCGGCGGGTACGCACACACTGACAAAATTTAACGTGGATTATCGGGGAGTCAATCGTGGTTGCTCCGAATTTTGTCAGTGTGTTCGTGCGCGCCGCATACATATTGTGGTGCGCTCACATACAAACCGCGCTTGGTGCGTTTCTATGAAGATAACCTACTCATTTGTATTTACCGATACTTACCAATGCTGCCAGTAGGGATTACTAATGTTTGGCCAAAAAACGTTTCCCAAATTATCACATCGCAAACAACGTTTCGCAAATTTTCATTTGGCAAATTCTCATTTGGCAAAGCAACTTATTGCAAACTTTTAATTCGCAAATGTTGTTTTTGGCATATTATTGTTTAGCAAATTATTGTTTGGCAAAGTATGGTTTGCCAAATGTTTCATTAGGCAAAAATATTGCACGATAAACTATTTACAAAATAATTTGATTGGTGCATAGAATGGATACAAATTAGCTTGTAGTTATTATTTTGTTTAGTGGGTAGTTAATATAAAATTTGTTCTACATTAATTTCCTTATTTCATTCTTTTTATCGTAATTTCCAAACGATTCATTAACAATAGAGGTGATTCTAGCGCTCGGCGGCCGCTGCCGCGGCACGCTTCGCTCGCCTTCGCGCATTAAGGGTAGGGTTCCCAACCCTCCCGGATTGCCCGGGAGACTCCGGAAATAATGGTTAACCTCCCGACCTCCCGGAGAGCAATATTTTCTCCGGTATTTCTAAAAATTTAATGCATCCATTGCTGCTCGTACTTGTTTATAANCCAAACGGAAGGATACCTGCCAGTAGACTTACTGTCGGCGTTTACTATATCGATGTTGCATTACTATTTACACCGACAATCTTGTTGTAAGTTGCAATGCCGACACTGGGCTTAATGTCGGCATTTACGGAAAAGATGTCGCTTAAACCTTTTTCGCCGACAACTATGGACTGTTTGAGTAAATTGCATCTTATATTTTAGAGCTTAAAGTACTTAATAAATAAACTACTAACTACTAGTTGGCCGGCCTACACCAGTAGCACGAGATTTTGCTGCTTTTTCTATATTTGCTGCACGAGTCTGGAAGTGAAAAATTAAGATTATAAAAAAAAAATTAGGGTGCTGTGAGAAAAAATAGTAATTTTCTACCAGATCTTACATAATTTTACGTAAAAAAAAATTAAGGACATTTTTAAGTAATGAGAATAATGGTAAATAAATTAATGAGTTTTTAAAAAAAATACCTGCAAGGATTGTACTCTTTTATGCAAGTTCATCATTGTACTGGAAATGGATGTTAACTTTTCCCTGTTTGTTGCTATATCTGCCAACTGAAAAATAAATATGAACACATCTTACCTTTCTTATTTTTTTACTGGATACAATTTATTTTTAATCTTATTTTTTTTTAAATACACTTTTTTTTTGGGTAAAAGTAAATTGAACCGTTATGTATTTCTATCATATTGTATGTAAAATAAATACAGGTTTCTTACCAAAGCATCCAATGGGGCATCATTCTGAAGGTCTTCGAGCTTCCTTCTCTCGGAGGTCAGCATCAGTTGGACTGTTTCTTGTTTTTCTCTAAAATAATCAATACAAAAACAATCATTGATATTCTTTCTACAAAAATCATTAATCAAGTAACACAAGTTCACAACTGATTTTTCTATGTAATAATCTCAGTTAATTGAGATTTTAATTGATGATAGAAGTAACGTAACCCCTGATGTTGAGATTTTAATTGATGATAGAAGTAACCCCTGATGTTATAAATGTAAGTTACTTTATTGTAATAATTACAGTAAGAAACCAAAGGTTAAAGACGCGATAAAAAGTTCAATGTAGGTAAAGTAGGTCACTTACGTTAATTCTTTGAGATGGGTGTTGATTGTAGCTAACGGGGGTTCGTATAGTTCTAGAACACCTTTAGCGAGAAGTCTAACAGTATTTGTGTCTTCTGGACTCGCTGAACTGGAACTAATAAGAAAGTTTTAAAAGTTTAAGACACCACTGATAATCCTATCGAGGTTGAAGGTATTTGAGTATTATGAAATCGTTATTCACCTTTCCATGTTAATTAAATTGTATTGTATTTGATTTTGCTGAAATAAGTTTGCCTTTCACCAATTTTTTAATGGAAAATTACAAAAAGACGAAAACCAAAAACTTGTAAACAAACGTCAAGGAAGTCAAGTTTGACAGTAATGGCAGATTTGTAAACGTCAAGTTGACGTCGTCAACTGGATTACGTTCAGAAATGTGAATAAATAAATTCAAAGTACATCGGCCCGTGGGCGGGCAGCGTACAAATGCAAGGTCACCTTGTTGTATTGTAATTCACGCCTGCAGACTAAAATCATCATCATCATTTCAGCCATAGGACGTCCACTGCTGAACATATTAGGCCTCCCCTACCTAATGCTTTCCACATTGATCGATTAGTAGCAGCCTGCATCCAGCGCTTCCCTGCTACCTTTACGATGTCGTCAGTCCACCTTGTAGGTGTAAATAGAAGTAATATCAGTGGGTCTAACTCTAGACAAAGTGCAAATTATAATCGCAAAGCAGTCGAAAAGTGGTCGAAAAGCCCCTTTTTTGTATGGAGTTTTGACGGATTCGATTTTCGATTCGATCAAAAAGTGCGTTTTGTCTAGGGGGGTTATGAAGAAAGCTTTCCTCAAGGTCATGTTGCCTGTCGGCCGTTGTTGGCGGTTCATAAGCATTGCATTATCTATTAACCACTTGATAATAATAAGTTATAATTAAAAACGTATATAATTACTATTACAAGAATAATTAATTAATCTAATAATATGACTATTTTAAAATAGTAATGAATAAAATTCTAACATGAATACAGTTACGTGAAACGGAACGATTTTTTATGGCCGCGGATTCCCTTGTTTTGACGTTCCTTCATTTTCCATAGTTCGTGTGAAGATTTTTTCGTTTTGCATTTGAATCAAGTGCGAAAGCTGACAATATTGTTTGCTGTTTAAATTTGTGACGAAAATCAGTCAATCTGGAAGTCTTACAAGTGACCCGTGAGGACGCCGATATGACGTCCGTAGTGCGAAGACGAGACCACGACGATTCCGGTGAATTCTCGGACGCATCACAGGATATCGAGCATAATCACTCTGGGAATGTGAGTTGGTAGTTCAAGGTGTCTCCGATGATAGCGCATTGTTGGGATTACTTTCGTTTTGGCGCTCAGAGCGATGTGGCCGTGGCCACTTTCTCCCGCGTTCTCGCGTGACGGTATGCCCATTTCTTTTCGTAATATTGAGGTCACGGTTTAGGCACCACTCACTAAAACGCCGCCGTTGTGTTTAGACCTTATAATTTGAGCCGCCACATCTGTAGGAAGCGATACTTAAGGAAGTTTTGTGAAAATGCAATTGCTGAAAGTTGGTGAATGTTTACAGGATGGGGGACAACCGGAGTCGGATTATGACTCCCAGGGTAGTGACTCCGAGCGATCGGACAGGGATCCGGAGAGCCAGGTGGGTACCTTGTTTATTTTTGCATACCCTCAACAGTATTTGTAAGTGTTACAAGTGTGTGAACCCTCAGTTGGTCCAATTAAAATTTAATTGGAAGTTGGATGATAACGGAACTTGCTGTAAATTCAGTAGGTTCTTGAGACTAGAACAATAATATTTTGTTTTTATGAAGTAAATATTCAAAATGAAGGGTATTATTTTTATTAAATAACTTTAAAATCTTGCTTTACTTTTCCATTAAAGTTAAGAATTTGCAAAGCATTAAAATCACTTCAGACTTTCTATTGTCTGTGTAACCATTTCTTTTATTTTTATGTTGATTTCACTTTCTACAGTCTTTCCTGTTGACTTATTTTTTGTGTGATTATTTGTCTGTATATCAAAATTGTTTGTTTCCCTAATAAAAATAAATAAGTAAATAAATTATTTAGATAAAAGTCTGCAATCTCATAATTATTGTAATAATACTTGTATGTAACTGTATTTAAGGTGGTAAAAAACCTCTGACACTGGTTTGAAACCTAAACAAGTAATGAAATGTTTTTAAAATAATTAATAACCTCGTAAGACCGAAGAGTAAATTTTGTCAACTTCTAAGTATCGCCGAATGTGCTTTCAGAAGAACGAATAATTTGAAGTCGTAAACGCCGAGCACTTCGAGTAAAAAAAATTCTATGTTAGAGATTTTCTTTTGCACCCATATTTTCAGGGACCCTATATAATAGTGCATAGAGCTTATTTTAGGTAAAAAATAATAAAAAAATGTTTTCTCTTAAAAGAACATTCGGTATTACAGACTTTAAAAAGAAAAACTAAATAAATTGTATATTATACTTTAAAGTAAAACATAAATGTAACCTCCTTAATAAATTAATACTACATGAAGATACAATAATGATATTAATAAATGTAACTGAAAAGGCACAAGTATTTTAATTTTATTTAATGTTCCATAATTAGTACTTTTAAAAGTACTATCGGTTTTATAACATACAATAATGATAGGTTAGAATGTATAAGAAGTAAAGTCAATATTTATGTTAATTATAATATTTATTAAACTAAAAATCAGAACGTTCTCATAGTAAATTTTCTCAATCTTATCATAATTTTAAAAGTCCAATACTCAATTCATCTCAAGTGAAGAAAAAAAATTAATCGCACATCATGTCTTCTTGGACGAACCACCTTGTCAAAGAAAAATGATAATTTGACAGTGACATTTTGTTTTTTTTATATTAATAAGTTCGGATACCTGATTTTGAATACTTTAAGCCATAGACTATCACTCTTTTCTTTCGATAGGCGCGAATTTTTGAACTTAAATTTATCGCTAAAGTTTTAGTTCCTCTGATGGCACATCCGGCGATACTTCGAAGTGACCTCCGAAAATGTCTCGGCGTTACTGACTACAAAGTTTCAGTTCCTTCTGAGGCACATCCGGGCTTACGAGGTTAAAGTAAAAAATGTTCTGTTTGATGTTCTTATTTGAACAAAAAGATGCAATATTTATAAAATTATCACAATGAGTAGTAGTATTTTATTACAATTAAAACAGATTAGTGCATTTTTTTTTTAAATACTCTATCATGCAATCAGTCGAAGACCATGAACAGATGTTTTCTGTGATTTATTATTAGGTATTTTTTGTGTTATTATTATTTTTGTAACCATATCCTTATCCATGTATCTTATGGTACATTCATTGTACTATATTATCATGTTATGGTGTGTAAACATAGCTGTCTTGTGTGCGCTATTCAAGAAGCACTTACACGGTGACTGTGGATAATCTAATTTATTCTAGTAATCACCTTGACTATAAAATATATTAATTAAACTCTGATTTTTAATTCGACGGAATTTTGACATTTCAGAAGTGTTGTCAACATTGAAACATTCCCACTAAGAATGGAGAGCATTTTCACAAATTAATAAATAATCCTTTCTTGAATTTAAGGTTTCACTTGAAAAACTAAGGCTTAAAAATGTACTGATCATTTCAAAATGGTTATTTGAATTTTTATTATCATATTATGGAAGTTACAAAAAAAAATGGGAAATTATTTTTCTATTACTGGAATCCCTGCCCAATAATCCATGGGTTACAAACCTTTTTTATGAAAATCCTTTTGTTAATAAAATCTTAGCTTCATAAAATAATCAGTTTAACAAGATGCCAATTTTATAATCCAAGTTGATTATGATGACGACAATGATGATTGATGATCAATACATATTTTCGTTTATGTTAATATGTTGTTTTACTGTGTTAAAAACACGTTTTTTTCTATTTAATCTCTAAAATGTACATAATTAGTGTACATTGAATTCACAATACAAACAATAGTTCATTCTTGTAAGTTGTACTTGATGAAATTTAATTTAATATTATTTATTATTAATTCTAAGCAAAAAAGGCTTATTACATCTGAATTGTCAAAAAATGACAGCTGTCAGAATTCCGTCGAATTAAAAATCGGACTGTAGTACATTCTCTTTAGCATACCATTAGCACAATAGAACAAGTAGGAAAACTTAGCAATGCAACAAAACTGGCCTTATAATAATAACAATCTATTTGAGGATAGAAAATTACATAAAATAATAATATGTAATAATCTTTCCTTGACCTTTTTCATTAAACCGATGACCAGACAGCTATTAATGATATCTGTAGTCGAATGTGACTAATGTGTCACCAGCAATCTATCAGACATTTTCCCATATCCTCATTTGATTATAAACATTATACAATAGATATAAGTTCATCACTTCACACTGGTCTTTGATTTGTCAGTAAAATGATTAATTCACCATCAACATGAGAGTATACTTGTGTTAAAAAGTTCATTCGTTTTAGCCGAAATACGTCCACTGCTGGACAAAGGCCTCCCCAAGGATTTCCAGAAAGACCGGTCCTGCGCCGCTCGCATCCAGGCACCTCCCGCGACCTTCACCAGATCGTCGGTCCACCTAGTGGGAGGCCTGCCCACGCTACGTCTTCCGGCTCGTAGTTGCCACTCAAGAACTGTGTTAAAAAGTCGTCTGTGACATTAGAATTATCGTTTTATGCAGCCTTTCAGGGTTACCTCGTAAAACTTATTTACATACACACAAGACAGTGTTTAATTTAATAATTTATTTTTACAGGAAACAGAGCGCCGTGTAGACGACGATGAGGACCGAAGCAACCCTCAGTACATCCCTAAGAGAGGCACCTTCTATGAGCACGATGACCGTACCGCTGCTAGGTAAAACTCATTTATTTTTGCAAGCCCCCTTCCATCATCGGGGAACCATACGCAGGTTAGGGTACCATCCCTATATTGTTGACATTCCACCAGCTGGCACTAAGCGTTTCGATGACTCTTTTATAATGCGAACAGCTAGGGACTGGAATTCGCTGCCTGCTGCTGTCTTTCCTGAAGACTATAATCCGGGCCTTTTCAGGGCGAGAGTGAATACGCACTTACAGGGCAGATATGTACCGTCCTATATTGTATACCACTTGACATCGGGTGCGATTGTGGTCAAATAATTGCCTTGATAAGCATAAAAAAGTAGGCTTTTAATAAGCACTTTTACACGTCCCATTATTAACCCTACCACTGCTTCGGATAATAAATGGGCCAGTGCTGAGAAGAAGTAGCGCAAGAATCTTAGTCACGGTTGTAATTTGAGCCTTAACGTATTACTCTAGTGTACGCTTTGTTAGATGTTCAAAGGCACATTAATCATTTCTACAAGTAGGCACACTTAATATTTACTTTGGTATATTAGAAAACGTACCAACTGAATAAAGAACCTCCTTTTGTTGAAGTCGGTTAAAAATAGACCTAGAGATATAACTAAAGAAAGACATTGTTTTGATAGCTAATAAAAACATCTCAACTGGTATCTAGTCCCCTTTCCAATTTATAAGCTTGCCCTTGCCCTTGGCCCAAAGGGGTGCAGATGGGTTCTATTATGGACCAGTAATTGTCCATTAATGTATGTATGTATATGTTACCTTGAAAGCCGCTTTATTGTATGGAGTCGCGAACATCCGAAGGGAATTATACTCATTGTGAGTCAGTTCATTGTAAATGACCTATATTTGATGAGAATAACGGTATCAACGATGTGAGGGTACTTTTCAATGCTTCTTGTTGTTAGAGAGAAAGACCTTCATTGCTCAGTTAGTTGAAATCTAATTTTATGACATAAAATAATATGCCAACAAAAGACTCGGCGTCGGCCTGAAGCGATTAAAGACATTTTATTAAAGAAAGTCGCGGGGACTTCGTATGCGTGGATCCCGTTTTACCCCCTTAGGGGTGGAGTTTCGTAAAATCCTTTCTTAGCGGATGCCTTCGTGATAACATTTCATTCAGTTTCAATTCAATTTCAGCCCGATCCGTCCAGTGGTTTGGGCTGTGCGTTGATAGATCACTATGTCAGTCAGTCACCTTTGAGTTATTTAGATTATTTATTCACCGAGACAAGGTAACACAACAAGGTAGATGTCAAAATAGATAGAGAAGCTAGTGTGTGATGTTAAGTAGCTTTTTTATATCTTCGAAGTTGTGTTTAAGGGTTGCTACACACATAAGCGGATCGACATTGGGAATAAGTGACCATTAGGGCTTGTACTCCCAACAGAAAAAATGGTGTCTCAGTTTTTTGCGTTGCGAATTCGCAGCGCGCCGATTCGCAGTTATGTGTGCAAATCCTTAGGCATGGCCCATTTATATTTAGGCAACTGGAAATGTGTGACCCTATATCAGAGGTTTGGGCTACACATCAAAGTTTAAACATCGAATTGACCCGACTTATGCGGTTCTCAAAACTCGTCCGACTTTCTATCCAGTATTACAATGTTCGCGCTCGACTGCGCAGTTTGGTCATTGACGTTCAGTAATCGCTGCGCGTGCGGCGTGCGCGGATACAGGCTCGTTGTATAATTGCAGGATTAAACGGTTGTTGCTGGATTTCGGTTCGACGCATATATTAGTTGCGTAGGTAGAATATGTATTACTAGCGGCCGCCCGCGACTTCGTACGCGTGGACCTCGTTTAATTACTAATGATGTTGATAGATGGCGTTCAACGGCTCCGCATGAATATTTACGAACGTCAAAATTTTTTGGCTGTAGATTTTAACCAATGACGATAGATGGCGCTTTTTACCCGCGTCTTATTTATTTATTGAAATTTAGTTTGTCACATAATATCGTCATAAATTATGTAAAGCCTATATCGTCACCGTCGTGGCAGAATTAAATAACTGACAAAACCAAAGTTGCGAGATATTCACGTTTTTGTGTTTTTTTTCGTTAAAAATGGCGATAACTTTTAAGGGCTAAAATATTTTACTGTCGGTCTTTTGATATTTTATACAGCAAATTTACCTTTATTAATTCAAAAGTATTCGATGACGTTACTTTGTATTATTTTAAATAAAAAAAATAAAAATGTAATTATTTAGTTTTGCCACAACCGTATTTTACAACTAAGTTGCAGTTATTTAGTTTTTGAATGTCACTTATTTAGTTTTGCCTCAACCAAGGTATTACAAAAACGAATATTTCCATTGAATAAGTACACTTGTTTAATTTTGCCACACTTTTATTGACCTAAATGTTGATTTGTTCATTTTATTTTATTTGTTTTGTCAATGCAATTTTAGTCAAAATCTGTAAAATTGTTAAATAATACTAGAATATACCTACTTATTTAATACTTATAAATTTTTAACAAATTGGTATGGTAACCATCAACATCAGATTCCTATAACATTGAAATACAATTGAAAGAACCAACATCGAAATGAATATCAAGATTAAAATAATCCAAAAACAATAAAACTGTAATAGGGATCTCTCCCTAGGGATCCATAGGGATTCCTTACCCTCAACGTCATAGCAGAACGACGTTCAATGTCTCTGCAGATCTCCGTTGACGCTAAGGCACATCGGCAGCTCAATAGACAGATATGGAAGTCCTTGCAACATGATGTTCGCAACTTTAATACAAATCGTATTAAAGAGGCGATAGAGCGGAACCAAGGCTCGAAAGTGTTCGCAAGAGACTACTCTATTGGGCGAAGCTAGCTTACGAAGCTGAAGACTGCGGAAGGTAGTGTAACGTCAACAAAAGCCGAGGTTCTGGGTGAGATTGAAAAGTTTTATGGACAGCTGTATACCTCGACGAAGATGTTGTGGATATCAGCATTATCAGCCTATATGAGATTAGGATGGCTCTCAAACACCTAAAGAACAACAAGGTACCGGGTGATGACGGAATAACCTCGAAGCTTCTGAACGCGGGTGGAACATCGATATTAAAGTCAAGTCCTTCAGAGACTATTTAACTTCGTCTTACTCCAGGGAACAACGCCAGAGGTATGGAACAGAAGCGTGGTGGTACTCTTCTTCAAGAAAGGGGATAAAACCTTGCTGAAGAATTACTGACTAATCTCACTTCTGAGTCATGTCTACAAGCTGTTTTCTAAAGTTATCACGAATGATCTNACAACGTGGACTTCATAAAGGTAGCAAGAAAGCACTGGATGCAGACCGCTACCAGCTGGTCATATTGAAAATCATTGGGGGAGACCTATGTTCGGCAGTGGACGTCCTATATGGCTGAAATGATAATAATGATGAAGGTAACTATCCAGATTCAACATCTGAGTAATGAACATTGAAATTAAAAGTAACATTTAAAGTAATGTTACAAAAATGAAATAAATCAAAAACAAAATTGTACGAGTATTTTGAAGGAATGTTTCGGATTGACTTGTGGCAGAATTAAATAAAGTCACTTGTTGACTTTCTTAGTACAAGTATTTTGAAGCAACGTTCGCAGTGAGTTGTGGCAGAATTAAATAAAGTCACTTATTCAGTTTTGCCACGTAAATTCTACAACAAACAGAGTTGTAATTTATGGTCAATAGTTTCACTAAACTGAAGATATCTTTGGAAATATCATAGATATTGCCACGGGAGTAAGATCAAAATATAGGTAACACTTTCTACTTTACAAAAAGTGGAAAAAGTGGTTTTTGCCAAAAGTGTCAGTTATTTAATTCTGCCACGACGGTGACGATATGTTAATCTGGGTTATAATCAATAATACTGTAAAGTTTCAACAAAATCAGTTCAGTAGTTTTTGCGTGAAAAAGTAACAAACATCCAGACATCCAGACATTCACACAAACTTTCCCATTTATATTATTAGTAGGATTAGTAGGATTATAGCTGTGCCCGCGACTTACGCCCGTATTCACAAACATTACTATGCGGTCTCACAGTGCGCGTGAACGCACAGGGTCACACACGAACAAATCGCAGAGCTCTTCAACGCTGTGCGTTCGATTTGCTGTTTCACATAAGCAAGCATCGTTTGTAAATACGGGCATTAGTACACGTTAGAAACCCTTATCACACGAGGGTATGAAACATTTTTTAGGTCCTTATTTATCAGACGGAAGGCGCTGGACGCAGGCCGCTACCAACCCGGCACCATGGAAAGCAAAGGGGAAGGCCTATGTTTAGCAGTGAACGTCCTATGGCTGAGATGATGATGATGCTGATTTATCAGACCACTGAGATACACAAAAAATTGCATATGAATCGCTCAAGTACTTTCGGAGGAGTTTTTGTACAAACAGTGAGACAGGAGAATTTTATAAATATTCTGAGAGATTAAAATAAATAAAAGAAAAAACATAGTAAATAAATAAATGCTGTAAAGAAATTAAGAAAGAATAATTTTACTGACACAAATAAAACTGAAAGTAATACAAAAGGTACAAGTTTTCTATAGACGTATAAATTGTAAAATGTCTTAGGATTAACAATAAATAAATAATTCAATTACAGAAAACGTTTTTTTTGCACTTGAATAACTCCGACAAGTTCAGAGATGTAAAACAATTTTGAAAACATCTTATGCAATAAATTATCGCCGAATCACAATCTTAAATTTTTAAGCGCGGTACTTTTTAACAATACTTATTTATTAATAAACTACATGCGTTTGTGTAGTAACAACCATTTAATTTTTAACCTGCTGGAGTTAATAAATCACTGTTTTTTTATTGTTTTCAATTGGCAAGGTAGCATTAGGTTAATTGCAAGTTATATCATCGCGCTTTTTCTTTTATCGCAGTTATATTTAGGCGGTTTGTGTGTGTTAGTGCAATGACATTTTCGTCACTAAAATAGTGATGTTGTTTCAATTTTAAATCTAATTATAATTGTTTGTTA